AAAGACTCACAGACAAAAAATAAATAAATAAAATGTTACGACACTTTTTCTTCAACCTGACTGGCGGCTGTTCTGTAAAATTGAAGAGTTTTTTTTTTTTTGGAGGGGTGTGTGAAAATGCAACAAGGGGAAGATAACGAGATAAAAACAACAACTTCATTATAAACTCTTTTTTTTTATTATTTTTTTTTACCCAGGACAGACTGATTGCAATACTAATGACAGATATATTACGACAAAATATTATCCAGGTAAAACTATGGTCAGTGACTCTGTTCATGTTAGTAAAAAAAAAAAGAAGTTTAAAATGATGTGAAAATTATGAAAAAATAATAATATCTGGAGATGTTAAAAAAATTAGTATCGAGTCTTAGAAGTCATTATGTCTGTCATTATATAAATATGTCGATAAAGAGAGAAAGTAGAAGAGCTAAAAAGGGCAAAAAAAAAAGATACAGAGAGCAAGTAAGAGAAGAACTAAGGGGGAAGAGGAAAATAAAATAAAATAGATAATAAAGAGAGAAAGTACAAAAAAACTCAAAGGGAAAAACAAAAGACAAGACAAACGAATAGAAGGAATAAAAACAAAGAAAAATGTAGAAATAAAAATAATTAAATACCAGTAAACATCGAATTTCATCATATTCAATAAATAATCAGTATGTCACCCCAGAAAATCAAAACACTTCCCTGACAACTAATGGACACGTGGTATAAACTCTCCTGTCATGCGTCACTCAAGATCATCAATAATATCCGAGACGAATAAACACGTTGCTTATCTCTGGTACATTTTCAGACTTATACTGGGTAGATAGGCAGCTATCAAACAGGGAGGTACTACCGCCTGGGAAGATATTGGAAGCATAATGTGTTGTCTAATGGTAGACCCTGCTGCCATATGGCATCACGAAAATTGTGACCAACCAAGTCCCAGGTTGCTGATCTGACTTTCTGCCTCATTTACACACAATTACAGGGTCTCAATTGTTTCTCTTACTGTCGACACAACAACAAATATAATGTATATAATTTCTCACTCTTGATTTTGTATTTTTTTATGGTTATTATTTTTATTATTTTTATTTTTTATTTGTATTAATTTGCAGTTAATAGTAATAATAGATATTATTATTATTATTATTATTATTATTATTATTATTATTATTATTATTATTATTATTATTATTATTATTATTATTATTATTATTATTATTATTATTATTATTATTATTATTATTATTATTATTATTATTATTATTATTGTTATTGTTGTTGTTGTTGTTGTTTATTTGTTGTTGTTGTTGTTTCGCCCCCTAGACACTGATGTGGGTCATTACCTGTACTTGAAATTGGGCTAATGCCCGTAAAATGAAAAATCCTTACATCAGCTATTACCCTCATCCTTAATGTAGTATTACCCTCATCCTTATACCATCTGTTACCCTCATCCTTACATCAGCCTAGTTCCTCATCCTCCTTACCATCCTATTTACCCTCATCCTTAATGTAGCTATTACCCTCATCCTTATACCATCTGTTACCCTCATCACCCATCGCTATTACCCTCATCCTTAATGTAGCTGTTACCCTCATCCTTATACCATCTGTTACCCTCATCCTTACATCAGCTATTACGCCCTCATCCTTAATGTAGCTGTTACCTCATCCTTATACCATCTGCCTCATCCTTACATCGCTATTACCTCATCATAATGTGCTGTTACCCTCATCCTTATACCATCTGTTACCCTCGTAACCCATCAGCTATTACCTGTCCTTAATGTGTATTTACTCTCATCCTTACCATCTGTTACCCTCATCCTTACATCGCTATTACCCTCATCCTTAATGTAGCTGTTACCCTCATCCTTATACCATCTGTTGCCTCATCCTTACATCAGCTATTACCCTCATCCTTAATGTGGCTGTTGCTCTCATCCTTATACCATCATTACCCTCATCCTTTACATCAGCTAGTTCCCTCATCCTCATACCAGCTGTTACCCTCATCCTCATACCAGCTGTTACCCTCATCCTTCACCACCATCTGTTACCCTCATCCTTACATCAGCTATTACCCTCTCATCCTTAATGTAGCTGTTACTCTCATCCTTACTCTGTGTTACCCTCATCCCACCAGCTGTTACCCTCATCCTTAATGTAGCTATTACCCTCATCCTTACATCAGCTATTACCCTCATCCTTAATGTAGCTGTTACCATCATCCTTATACCAGCTGTTACCCTCATCCTTACACCAGCTATTACCCTCATCCTTAATGTAGCTGTTACTCTCATCCTTATACCAGCTGTTACCCTCATCCTTACACCAGCTGTTACCCTCATCCTTAATGTAGCTATTACCCTCATCCTTACACCAGCTATTACCCTCATCCTTAATGTAGCTGTTACTCTCATCCTTATACCAGCTGTTACCCTCATCCTTACACCAGCTAGTTCCCTCATCCTCATACCAGCTGTTACCTTCATCCTTACACCAGCTAGTTCCCTCATCCTCATACCAGCTGTTACCTTACACCGTGAGTGAGGCAGGTCTGACACACCAATAAACATGGATTTTCCTTTCATTTCTCTCTCCCTCTATTGGTTGTATTGTAGATAGAAGGTTTTACGCTGTTTTAATCCATCTCCTGTCAGTTCAATAGACGGCTTTACACAACACTATACACAAAAACACTATAGTTAAAACATAACATAACTAATCTATTTAACACTTGGTTTAATCTTTCCACCAATAATAATGTAATAGAACACACAATTATCACTTGATGGTAAGGTATTTTTAAAACGACTATATTAACGTAGGGAAACGTTCTTTATCTCTGCTTCATGTGTGTGGAGGGGAGGTAGTGTGAGAGTGGAGAGGAAGGTACTATAGGGCTTAGGTGAGGTTGTCGGCAGTGAAAGACCACACCACGTATAACCTAACTAACTAAGCTGTAAACCTTCAGTATGTACAATGAGGCAACCCCGATGCTTAGTAGTCATTATTATTGTGTGTGTGTGTGAGAGAGAGAGAGAGAGAGAGTGTTGATTGTTGCTCCTCTGTGTTTGAACTCTGCCCTGCCGTTGTTCAACACTTCTCAACTGCTCCCACAATCCTCCCCTCCTCCCCCCCCCTCATCTCTTCCTCCTCTTGGCTGGGGTTTACATTCCCGTTGATCCTCCACACACACACACACACAAACACACACACACACACAAACACATCTGGTACACATGTAGACAAAAACAAAGGCATACTTACATACATACATACATAAAAACATAGACAGACAGACAGACAGACAGACAGACAGACAGACAGACAGACAGACAAATAAAATAAACACAGACATAATGACAAACACAAGATATACTTTTACAATCTTTCACAATCCTTTAAAATCATTCACAATCCTTCACCATCATTTACAACCTTTAACAATCCTTCACAATCTTTCACAAACCATCAAAATCATTTACAATCTTTAAAAAATCATTCACAATCCTTCATCATCATTTACAACCTTTAACAATCCTTCACAATCTTTCACAATCCATCAAAATCATTTACAATCTTTAAAAAATCATTCACAATCCTTCACCATCATTTACAACCTTTAACAATCCTTCACAATCCATCAAAATCATTTACAATCTTTAAAAAATCATTCACAATCCTTCACCATCATTTACAACCTTTAACAATCTTCCACAATCTTTCACAATTCTTTATATTCATTCACAATCTCTATAGTAATCAGCGTGATGGTCTAGGTAATGTGAGACTATAGTTGTAATATATTTGCATAACTGTGTACATTTTACCGTCCAAAGTAAGGCTCTATCCGTGCCACCGCCACTAATATAATCACGACGACTTGCCACAAATTACAGGATTAAAACAAATGATATAACATAAACGTAACGTAATCTAACCTAATCTAAATGTAATCTAACCAAAACTAATATAACCTGAACGTAACGTAATCTAATCTAATCTAAACGTAATCTAACGTAACCTAATCTAATCTAAACGTAATCTAACCAAATCTAACCTAATCTAAACGTAATATAACATAACGTGATCTAACCTACCGTGTTATGCTGTCGTGCTTGTCCTCCACACACACACACACACACACGCACACACACACACACACACACACACACACACACATGGTAGGCTGTTGTGTGTAAGTTTGCCATTAATTGAACTCAACTCAACCGCACAAGGTTGCATCACTAAACAGCTGGAAGAGATGACGTGGTTAGGTTAGGTTAGGTTAGGTTAGGTTAGGTCCATAGAAAAGACAAGATAATAAATCCCTAAAATCCCAAACAAACCAAACAAACAAACAAACAACGCCTACTAAAGTAAACTGGACTAAGTGACACACGTATGTATAGCCAAAACAAGTACTTGATTATCATGATTGTTTTGTGTGTGTGTGTGTGTGTGTGTGTGTGTGTGTTTAGCATGATACAAAAACAAAACAGGGAATCATCTTTGGGTTACACATACAGATGGGGGGGGGGGGGTTGTTGTGACACCTTCCTCCCCTCCCCCTCCCACCAGGTAACACACAGGTATGTTATTTTCCCACCTCCCTCATTAATTCTTCTTCACTCCATGTAATTAACCATACCTGACGTAATTTACTTTAATCTAATGCAATTTACCTTTTAATCTAACCTCCCAAAACTGACTACCTTACCTACCTAAATTATCCTATTAAAGTAACTTAACTATATAATCTATCGTAACCAGCTACCTAACTTTACCTAAGCTACCTACTTAATCATACTTAATCTAACTTACCCTAATCTTGTTTACCCTAACCTCACCTATTTACCTTATGTTACCTCGCCTACTTATCTCCCTTATCTTAACTAACATATCTCACTTAACTTTGCCTATGCTACCTACTTAAACTTACTTTACCTAGCCAACTTCACTAACCTTACCAAGCCTGCCTTACCCAAGTCACCTACCTTGAGGCGTGAGGATGAGGAGCGCCAGAAGGGTGAAGTAGTGAGTCGTGTCCATCATGGTGTGTCCTCACTCTACGGCCGGGAGCTGTGGTGCTGCCAGCCGTCTCCACATACAGCAGCTGTGGCACTCCTGACCCAGCAGATGTGGCACTCCTGGCCCAGCAGATGTGGCACTCCTGACCCAGCAGATGTGGCACTCCTGACCCAGCAGCTGTGGCACTCCTGACCCAGCAGATATAACACTCCTGACAGCACAGCAGCTGTGTCACTCCTGACAGAACAAAAGTTGTGACTTCTCTGACAGCAGGGATGACACTTACAGTACAGCTGTTTCCTTAATATCCTACAGATGATCGGCACAGCAATTCTATACCGATTCTATCTCTCTCTCTCTCTCTCTCTCTCTCTCTCTCTCTCTCTTTAGCTGTTTGTCTGTCTCGATCTCTCACCTCACGGCACTTTTCACAGCCCCGTCACGGGCTGGGATCAAGGTGTACTGCTGAGTGCTGCCCCGAGAGTCAGACACACGTGTCCACTGGCCACCTAAAGAGCCAAGGAGGCTTGACGACTATGTATATATGTATACAGTTTATGTATTGTATTTCTCCCGCTCCAAAACTTCACTTCCCAGGTCCTGGTGTATTGTGGGCGTCTAAAACATTTACGAATTTCTGTTGTCTTATTCTTTCGTTTCTAATGTCATCAGAAGAAACTCTTTATTCTTAAAATAATTCTCAAGTCTTTCCTCTTATCGTATCGTATTCACTGGACAATCAGATTTCATTACAAGTCGCTAGCCAGCCAGAGTTCATCAAAATTCACCAGTCAGGGCACTCACATTTCGCTAGCCGATTAGAATTCACCCAAAATCGCCAGTTAACGTTCATGACAGTTCTCTATAACCAATCAACGTTCATCACTTCCCCTTCTCAACACTGTGTAATGCTCCTCAGGATATTCTTACCATGCGTCTCTATAGCATCATTCCCTGTGGAGAAAAATATATCAAACTATATAAATGACAAAAACGAAAAAAAAAAAACAGTAAAAGAAAAAAGCGTGGAAGTCCAAAGTAAACATAACATTAGTTTTGGGACTCATAAACACACATTACGAATTCTCTCTCTCTCTCTCTCTCTCTTTTGTCCCTCTCTCTCTCCTAAAAACAGTATCATGCCTGTTTTAACACATACATAGATAACTTAAAATGATGATGTTTGGTATAATCTTGTTATCTTGTGTCAGGTGCAGAATTATAGGTGACATGATTTACCTTCATAACTTAATTAGTTCACGTATTCTAATGATGATAATTACCTATATAGTCATTAATTCATTTATACATATAATTTAATGTTAATACATTCTGATATATTTTTTGTTATGTTTTTAAAAGTACCATTACATAAATAATTCTTAATGAAAAGGAAAAATAAAGGTTAAATAATTAGGCACTTTACTCATTAACTCAACATTCAGTAATAATTTAAGTCTAATTAGTGCCCGATAGTCTTTTGTTTGTTTCACAAGTTTAATTACGTGGATAATAAATAAAACAAAATGTGGTTAAATTATTAGCCTCTGTAATCAATAATTCTAACATAACTGTTTCTTTTAATTAGTCTCCAGGTAAATTTTTTTTAAGGAGGTTGCTCTTAAAGTTTACAGAAATAGAAAGTAAATTGAAAGAAAAAGAAAAAAACAAGAAAAATATTGATCTATTTCGCCATTAATACCACATTTTTTTCCAGGTTCCATTATAAAGAGACTTCATTTTGGATCACCCTGTGCTTCAATGCCTTACCTGCAGACGTAAAGTAAACAACAACACCTGAAAACTAATTGATGTCGTACTTAATAATAATCAATTTGGTGATATTACAGATAGAACAGGTGTGGCAGGTGTACAGGTAGTGTGTAGAGGAGAGGCTTACCTGTCCGACCTCTGACACCTGTCCCTCATCTAATTTCCCTCTCTCTCCCTGCTTCTCTTTTTCTCTCCTTCCTCTGTGTCTTCTTTTTTCCCTTCCCTCCCTCCCTCCCTTGATTTTCTCCTCTCTCTCTCTCTCTCTCTCTCTCTCTCTCTCCATGCCCCTCTTGCCTTCCTCCTCCCATTCTCTCTCTTTGCCTCTTTCCCTCCCACCCATTTTCCTGGCTTTCTTTTCTCTTTCTCTCCCTTTCATCCTTCCCCTCCTTGCTTCCCTCTTTCCCTATCACTCTCCGTCTTTCCCTGCCCCTTTCCTCTATCTTATCTTCCTCTTTACTTCACTCATTCCCTTTATCTTCTCCTTGTTATCCTTCCTCTTCCCCTTCCTTCTTTCTTTAACTTTTATATTGTTTTCCCATTCTTTCTCTTCTCTTCTTACCCCTATTCTCTATCTTCCTCTTGTCTTTCTTTCTTCTCTATTATTTTCTCTTCCATCTTCGCTTTATCTTCTCCGTCTCTTTCCCTTTCATTTTCCCTTTCTTGTTTTGTTATTGTTCTTCTTTCTTCTAGCTCCTATGTTCTTCATCTCTTCTATTGTTTTGTTTTATCGTTTCATCATCATCTCCTTCTTCTCCTTCTCTTCCCTCTTCCTTCCCTTCCTCAAAATGCCTCTCTTCCCTTCTCTCTTTTTCTTTCCTTCACCTCTCTCTATTCCTTTCTTCTTTTCCTTCCTCCTTTATCCTACTTGGCTTAGCTATATACCCCCCTCCTCCTCTCCTCTTCATTTCCCCTTCTCTTCCCCCTTTTTTTCGCCTCCTTTTCTCCCAGTTCTTTTTCCTTCCTTCTTTCCTATCTTCTTGCTGCTTCACGCACATCTCTCAGCCCACTTCTTTACCTCTTTCGTTTCGTTTTCCATCCTCTGCTCAAATTCTTGCAATCTACTATTCGTTCTCCCTTTTTCTTCTTCTCTTCCACATTTTCTTCTTCTCTCCCACCTCTTCACTTTTCCACCTCATCATCATCATCATTTTCTTATTTATTTTCACCTCCTTTTCTTCTCCTTCAATCATCATCTTCCCCTTTTTCTTCTTTTCCACTCACTTCTTCCACGGCGGTGAAATTATCTTGATAGACAAACCAATGATAAAAATGTAGGTGCTTACACAGAGACACTGTTACGAGATTTTTTATATCATAGTTTCGGGTAAAAGTTCAGTACATTTCTTTGAATCGTTTTCTATGATGTAATTTTAGCACGCCATATACGTTTTCTATGTCATGTTAAGAGAGACTGTTTTAATTTAAGAATCTTTATGAATATTTTGGATTTAAGTCGTAAGTGTATTTGTAGGATTGGATTACATGAAGATTAGCCCCCCTAGCAGATTAAATACCCTAATGCTCCTTATGAGGGGATGGGTTAGGTTGGGTTAAGTTAGGTTATGCTAGGTAGGGTCGGGTTGGGTTGGGTTAGGTTGGGTTGGGTTGAGTTGGGATGGTATAGGTTAAGCTAAGTTAGGCTAAGCTAGGTTGGGTGGGATTGTGTTAGGCTAAATTTTTCAATGTTATCTTAGGTCAGGTCAGGTTAGGTTAGGTCAGGTCAGGTCAGGTCAGGTTAGGTTAGGTTAGGTCAGCATAAAGGTGTTTAATCATCAGGTGAATTAAGCTGAGATGATTAATTTGCAGGTGATCCAAATAAATTAACCTAAGTACACAATATAACTTTACAATTAAATAGTAATAATAGATATAAATATACAACAAAAAAAACTTCACGACAAAAACAAAACAAAAATACAAATAACAAATATATATCACCAATAAAACTTGAAAATTAACACCAATAAACAAACCTGGACCATAATATTATACAATTACTAACAAACACACGTACATAAATTGCACTTAAGTTTAAAAAAAAAGGTATGAGTAAACTTTATAATTCTAGAGCTTGAACTTTTAAACTTGATGTTAGACTTTGAAAAAAAAAAGAACTTAGGAGTGTATGGAAGATCAGAGAGGCGTATAAAACATTAAAAATCGTTAGCAAAAGACCACAACTAAAAATGGGAGGAAGAGGTGGATAAGGAGGAGGAAGGATGAGGAGGAGGAAGAAGAAGAAGAGAAGGCGAATAATGGGGATGAGGAGGAGGAGAAGGAGGAAGGGGAGGTGAATATGTGGGGGAGTAGGAAGAGCAAGTGGACAAGGGAGGAGGAGGAGGAGGAGGAGAAAGAAGAGAAGATAAATAATGAAGGAGGTTCATAAGGGAAAGAAAAAAAAAGAGGTGGATAAGGTAGGAAGTAGAAAAGGTAAAGAAATAAAGAAGAAGTAAAAGGGAAGAGGTAGGAAAAGGAAGGAAGAAGAGGAAGTGAAATAATAATAATATGAACAAATTAAACATGACATAAATTGTAAATAGATTTGGAGAAAAAAAAAATAGTATGAGCGTCTTAATTAGTGAGAAACATTAGTGTGTCGTAGTTAGTTGATGAGAAATATTAGTGTGTCGTAGTTAGTTGATGAGAAATATTAGTGTGTCATAGTTAGTGAGATTAAAGAATGGCCAATACCACCAATTTGAAGGTTTAAACAACAAAGAAATTATAGAGAGAGAGAGAGAGAGAGAGAGAGAGACGTAGATAGATAGATAGATAGATAGATAGATAGAGATAGATGGATAGATAGAGAGAGAGAGAGAGAGAGAGAGAGAGAGAGAGAGAGAGAGAGAGAGAGAGAGAGAGAGAGAGAGAGAGAGAGAGAGAGTCAGGAGCTATAAACTAGGTCACTCAAGAGCTATAAACTCAAATTACAAAGTTGTATTTTGTAACCCATCACACATCATTACACAAATACATTTACAAGCTGTATGACCCAATGTTTTGTCAGCTATGATCTTTAAAGCTAAAAGTTATGAAGACAAAAAAAGTTATGAAAAATATTTAAAAAGTTGTAAGACTTGGAAGAAGTTTATGAAGAAAGAAAAAAAAACACGTTATGAACAGGAATAACAAAGTTTCAAAGTAGTGTGTTGTGGCCACGGTAGTTACTCCCCCGCTGCCCAAGTAGTTAGTGAAAGTGGTTCCCATAGGCATGACTACTACCAGTTTGGGATCAGACCAGCAAAACCCGTGAGGTCAGGAGTCAAGTACTGTAACCACTCATCCACCGCAAAGCCACAAAAACACAGTGAAAGAAAACTACGAGGCGTTTATGTGGTAGTTAGTAGTCCGGGAATATTAACGTGTCGTAGTTAGTAGATGAGATTTATTAACATGTGTGTGTGGCGTAGCTATCAGGTGAGAAACATTAGCTTGAGAAATGTACTTAATGTATGAGAAATGGTGTCGTAGTCAGTAGGTGAGAAATAAATAGCCTATCGTGGTTAGCATGTGTGAAATATTAGCGTGAGAGGCATAGTTAATAGTGAGAAACATTTGTCTCATGGGTGTCGGATTTATCAAGGGATAAATATTGATGAGAGTGTTATAGTTAGGAAGTGAGAAAGATTAGTGAATGCCATAGCTAAGTGAGAAATATTAGTATGAGTATCGTTGTTAGGAAGTGAGAAATATTAGCCAGAGTGACATAGTTTGATGAGAAATATTGGTATTTATCGTAGCTAACAAGTCGGAAATCTTATCTGAGAAACATGAGTGTATTTCATGGTAAGGAGATAAGAAATACTAATATGGGTCACGTGGTCAGTAGTTGGAAGAGAATAGCCTAAATAACGTAGTTAGTGATGAGAAACATAATTTAAATTAATAACTTTTGTTGTGGTTGTAAGTGAGGAATATTAACATGAAGGTTGTAAATAATAGTGAGAAACATGGGTCACTTAGTTAGCAGGTAAGAAATAGCTAAATTGTTGTAGTTGGTAAGTGAGAAATAGTAACAAGTGCCGTGGTTAGGAAATGATAAATTACTAATATGATTGATGAGAAACATTATCATGAGACGTAATTAACAGCCGAAAAATATATCAGCGCAAATGTCCAAGTTAACAAGTGAGAAATATAAACACGTGTCGTAGTTAGCAAGTGAGAAATATTAATACGTGTCCTAGAGAGCAGGTGAGAAATATCAACGAGATGTTAGCCAGTGAGGAATATTAACGTGTCGCAGTTAACAAGTGAGGAATATTAACACGTGTCGCAGTTAACAAGTGAGAAATATTAACACGTGTCGTAGATGGTAGCTGTGAGAGATACACGTGTCGTAGTTAGCAAGTGAGAAATATCAACACGTGTCGTAGTTAGAAGCAGAGAGAGAGAGAGAGAGAGAGAGAGAGAGAGAGAGAGAGAGAGAGAGAGTGTGTGTGTGTGTGTGTTAATTATAGTATGATAAACGAAAAAAAAATCTGACTTAAAATAAGAAAATATCAGTAAAAAGTAATTAGTTAATGAGGGACTTTGCTCCTACAATACTGCCACAGTATTTTGTGATGGCAATGGAAACTTAAAACCAAATTATATTGAAACTTTTACAAAATCATTTCAATAGGAATCCCGTAAAGATAAGAAAATAATAAACTGTGTTGCGTAGTTGTACATATTTTAGTTATATATACCGTATATATAGAAAGATATAGACTATGGCAAAAGTATATAAGGTTTAATTTAACATGATAATAAGCAGAAATATTTAGACTATGGTAAAACCTATATAAGGATTAATCTAACATGATAATAAACAGAGAAATATAGTTTATGGTAAAAACTATATAAGGTTTAATTTAACATGATAATAAGCAGAGATATAGACTGTGGCAAAAGTATATAAGGTTTAATTTAACATGATAATAAGCAGAAATATTTAGACTATGGTAAAACCTATATAAGGCTTAATTTAACATGATAATAAGCAGAGATATAGACTGTGGTAAAAACTATATAAGGATTATTTGAACACATAACACGGAACACATTGCCTTAGATGTTAACAACTATATGAGTATACATAATATAGGAACAGTAATATATATTAAAATCATGGTAAAATGATATCATATAATGACATGCATTGAGCCGCTTTACATATTTTTTATATAAAATGACTCACAGTAAATGCAGAATTTACCTGACTCAAGAATGAAAGAATATTAGTAAATATTCTTCAGTCTACTGTATTATTTACGCATTATTAACAAAGAATAACCCTTAAGTTACCTCAACGTTGTAGTTTAATTACTTTTGTAGCATAAAAAAACATATATTTGTAACACATTAAATTTATCTTCTCAAACATCAATATAAACATTAGCAAGTTGATCAGAAGGTAACTAAACAGAGACATCAAACATTTATCACAATTCCCCCACAAGGATTTTTTTTCTTTTTTTTTTTAATACATAGTAGTAGTGGCTGTGGTGCAAGAACTACAGTATGTTAACTTATTTCTCACCGACGTCTAGGCAACTAACAGAGATGTGTTTCAAAACATTCACTCTATTTTAATCATATCTCGGCAGTAAGTCACTTCAGGAACTATATAAATCACACAACATAACACACTCGCGTTTTATACAAGTCCACTGTTGACCCCAAAAATATATTGGTAAGAAAAACAATATGAGGGAAAAATGTGTATGGAGCGGGCAGACGAACTAAGTTTATCCAGGAGGAAACGCGAGCGAGCGAGTGAGCCAGCTAGGGCAGAGCGCCTCAACCCCGACCCATCTGACTCACAGCAAGGCTGAAGCACGACTGACTGTACCTACCTCTCCCCGCTCTCCCTCCCTCTCTCTCTCTCTCTCTCATTCCCCCCTCTCTCTCTCATTCTCTCTCTCTCTCTCATTCTCTCTCTCTCTCTCTCGGCACCTCTCCCCCTACTCTTACCCTCTTCTCCTCATTCCCTTCTCACAGACCCAGGCAACAAATTCTCCCCATCCCCCACCCACTCCGTCCCACCCATTCCTCCCAACCCAGCCACCTGCCTCACCTTAGGACAGGTGAGAAAAGAAACTGTTTCTGTGGCTTTCGCGTCAAAACATATTGAAAAAAAAATCTTCGTCTGGCATAAAGTCAAATAAGCATTTTTTTTTATTTAAGATGAGCTAAACTTTAACCACCTAAAATTAGGATTCAGTCGATTTAGAACCATAGAAAGAGTGTCAGTATTGAAGTGCACTTTTGAATAATCTTAACGCAAATATTGCCATTTTTGTGTAGTTATGAGACAGACGGACCAAACAAGATCTTGCCTTCCAAAATTTAAAGTGAAGATTATAATAAATTAATGTCCATAATTTAGTATGAAACAAGCGTCAGTTGTCTACGAGTGTCATAAGGTTAACGTTTGCTGTCAATGAGTGTCATAAAGCTAACGTTTGTTGTCTACGAGTGTCATAAGGCTAACGTTTGTTGTCTACGAGTGCCATAAGGCTAATGTTTGTTGTCTACGCGTGTCATAAGGCTAACGTTTGTTGTCTACGAGTGTCATAAGGCTAACGTTTGTTGTCTACGAGTGTCATAAGGCTAACGTTTGTTGTCTACGAGTGTCATAAGGCTAACGTTTGCTGTCTACGAGTGCCATAAGGCTAACGTTTGTTGTCTACGAGTGTCATAAGGCTAACGTTTGTTGTCTACGAGTGTCATAAGGCTAACGTTTGCTGTCTACGAGTGTCATAAGGCTAACGTTTGTTGTCTACGAGTGTCATAAGGCTAACGTTTGTTGTCTACGAGTGTCATAAGGCTAACGTTTGCTGTCTACGAGTGTCATAAGGCTAACGAGTGTCATAAGGCTAACGTTTGTTGTCTACGGAGTGTCATAAGGCTAACGTTTGTTGTCTACGAGTGTCATAAGGCTAACGTTTGCTGTCTACGAGTGCCATAAGGCTAACGTTTGTTGTCTACGAGTGTCATAAGGCTAACGTTTGTTGTCTACGAGTGTCATAAGGCTAACGTTTGCCGTCTACGAGTGTCATAAGGCTAACGTTTGTTGTCTACGAGTGTCATAAGGCTAACGTTTGCCGTCTACGAGTGTCATAAGGCTAACGTTTGCTGTCTACGAGTGTCATAAAGATAATTCACTGCAGTGGTTGATACGGTTCGGTCAATGAATAAAATGGGGTAGGGAGGGAGGGAGGGAGAGAACGAGGGAGGGAGGGAAAGAATGGAGGGATGGAGAGAATAGAGGAAGGAAGGATTGAAGGAAAGGATGGAAAAAATGAAGGGAGGGAGGGAAAGAAGGAAGAAAGGAACGAAAGAACGATTGAAGGGAAGGAAGGAAAGAATGGAGGAAAGGACGGAAGGAATGGAGAGAAAAGGAATGGAGGGAAGGTAGGAAGGAACATATATACCAAGGTGTTAACGGTGGTCTGGGGGTTGATGCTGATACAGGGACAAGAGGAGGATGACCCAATGGAAATTCCTTCCCTGTAATACTGTGGCTGATGTAGTTAGAATCCAGGTAAATTGGCGCCGTTAGGACAGCCAAAATTGGTTATAAGAATAGGGAGAGCGGTTAATAGTATAGTGGTAGTATGTGACGCCAGTACACCCTCATTGTCACACCTCTAACTTCATTGTTTGTTTGGATTACGTAAAATTGTTTCAAGTGTGTATAAACTCAAAATTAACATACGTCCATCTTTACCAATACCTTTTAACTAGCTTACTATAAATACGATGACAATTGGTTAATACATCATCTCCCCCCCCCCCACCTCCTCCCCCAATCAAAAAAATATAAGCATCTCAAAGTTTTCTTCATACGTAATTTGCGTCTAAATAAGTTAGTTTGAAAAAATTCGGATTAATGCAAAGGAATTATTTTATCGAGGTTTGAATGTCTTTGAGAAGATGCCTGTGTGATACAACCAAGTTATGACAGGAGAGGATAACGCAGGACACAGAAGGAATTGTTAATTTGAGAAGAAAAAACTAACGTGATAATGTGGTTTTATCACTATAAGATAACTTCCTATTGACAACTAATTCGCGAGACTCACCCTTGTTGTCGCGAGTGTTAAAGTCTAGAGTGTTTGGTAATAATCGACAACAGTTTACAAGATCAGGGTTTTCCCGGGTGGCGAGTTGACAGCGGTAATACTGTGTCTTGGTGGTGGTAGACCCGACAGCCTCCCCCTCCGAACGAGACAAAGTTAAAATTATAGAGATCCTACTTTAAATACACATCATCATACTGTACAGTGCTTGCTGAAGCATGAACAATGAACAGTAAAACGTTTAGAGCTGACGCAACATCATCATTGTAGTTTCAAAATTAGTAACAACAAAACTACTGGTACTGTTGAGCTTCCCAGTCTATGCTAAAAACGTCACGAATAAATATAATACAACTGCTCGGTGGTCATTCCCTGGAGTCTGTAGGTAGATAATAATTTTGCTCACACATCGAATACACCATAATCATCGGCCTCCGTTACGAGTTCATCGAATCGGGTACACAGGAGCTCGTTCCCGTCACGTGTGATCTCCTGGATTATCGGCTCATAGAATTTCCTAACCAGGTGTAGTAGCAATGACTGTACCGAAGGCCAAGTCATGATCGACAGCAAAAACCTGGACAACATGGCCTGCACCGCAGTCATAAATCCTGGTTCAATTCGGTTTGTTTCCTTGGATGTTGCAACAGCTTTGCTCAGTGCCACCGAGTTCACAGACAGACCAGAAAGGAAGCCCATCTTGGCTGTCCTCCTCCACTCTTCTTTCAGGTCTTTGTAACTCCAGTCGGCAACAGTGGCGCCCATCTGCGCAGTGGCATTTGTAAAGATCGAGTAATAGCGTCGCAGGATCTCCTCTAGATGGTTCCTCCGGAGGGCGAGTGTGGAGGAACTTTGAAGGAAGAATTGTAGGTCCAGCACAGGTGTGGTCCATTCTACTGCCTCCCAGTCGATAATCATTATATCCTCTATGGGTGCCTCACCGTCTGTCTCACTGCTTCTGTGTTTAAACATAATGTTGTTTGACCAAAAATCACAGTGACAAAGACAGAAAAACTTTTGTCCATTTCGATTCATACAGAGTGACATATAATCGTTCAATATAGACTCCTTAGCCATTTTCATTTTCTCCAAAAAGACATTATCCTTCTTGGGCTCTAAAATCTTCATGACGCCCTCATAAACAACAGTTAATATTGGTCTTTTCACGGTGTAACTGTTGGTGTTTAACTGAAACGTTGGAAATTTCTCAAGAAAGTTGTGGGTTCTGTGATAGGCATAGGAGACGGCATGCAGTCTGGCCAGCTGATCGACGGCCACCAGGATGTGCTGTAGGTCAAGGCCCTGTCGCACGTCCTGAATGGTGAACCCAGCTGGTGCGAGGTTCTCCATCACCAACACATGTTCATGATCAGTGGACTTACCATAGATGAATCCAGGGATGTTTATTCGATATTTGTCCTTTGCAAGTTTAAACTGGAAATTATTCAATTCAGTGATTATATCAGAATATATTAAAAATTCCTTTAAGTCGCCCTTCATGCTTTTCACGAACTCCTTATTAAAGATGTTGCCGCCGAGGAACTTGGCTACGAGGCTGTACTGGGTAGAGGAGGGAGGTTGGTGGCCGTCACCCGACAGCTGTGCCTCCACCTCCATCTTCACCAACTCTGAGCTGAAGTTCTCACCAGGTTTTGTGCCTGATAAATAATATATAAAAGAAAACGATATTAATCAAACGGTTTTTTTTTACCTGAGGGAGAGATACCGGGTGGAGGCGTTGTTGTTTATGGTGGTGATGTTGTTTATGGTAGTGGTTATGGTGGTGGTGGTGGATATGGTAGTGGTTATGGTGGTGGTTATGGTAGTGGTGGTGGATATGGTGGTGGTGGTGGATATGGTAGTGGTTATGGTGGTGGTGGTGGTGGATATGGTAGTGGTTATGGTGGTGGTGGTGGTGGATATGGTAGTGGTTATGGTGGTGGTGGTGGATATGGTAGTGGTTATGGTGGTGGTGGTGGATATGGTAGTGGTTATGGTGGTGGTTATGGTAGTGGTGGTGGATACGGTTGTGGTGTTTATGGTGGTGGTGGTCGTTATGGTGGTGGTGGTCGTTATGGTGGTGGTGGTCGTTACGGTGATGGTACAGAGAGTGATGGTGGCAGAGGTAGTGATGGTGGTGGTAGAGACAGTGGTGGTAGAAGTGGTAATGGTGGCAGTGGTAAAGGCGATGGTGGTGGTTAGGTTGGTGGTAGTAGTGGTGGTTAGGTTGGTGGTGGTGGTAGTGGTGGTTAGGTTGGTGGTGGTGGTAGTGGTGGTTAGGTTGGTGGTGGTGGTGGTGGTAGTGGTGGTTAGGGTGGTGGTGGTAGTGGTGGTTAGGTTGGTGGTGATGGCAGTGGTGGTAATGGTGGTAGAAACAGTCGTGGTGGTAGTATAAGTAATGGTGGTGGTAGTAGAAGTAAAGTTGGTGGTGGTGGTAGTAGTGGTGGTGGTGGTTTTGGCTATAATGTAAACAAAATTATACATTCAACACTGGACAATTATACAGCCTGAATTATACAACTTTATATAACTACAATACATTAAGTCATACTATGAGTGTGAAGTATTTATTAGATGAAGTAACGCATTGAAATACATTATAGTGAAGTTAATTTTCTACATACGGGTTGGGGTATAAGAGGTACTGTTTGTATATTTTAGTGGTGTGTTGGGACGATCACTAATGTAGTACATCAAGAGAGACTATTATTAATGGTGGCATTAATGGACCCTACTGAAGTGGCCTTAATGGGTCATACTAAAGTGGTCCTAATGGTCTCTACTAAAAGTGGTTATAATGGGTTCTACTAAAAGTGGCTCTAATGGTCTCTACTAAAAGTGGCCATAATGGTCTCTACTAAAAGTGGCCGTAATGGACTCTTGTTGGTGAATTTATCGTAGTGTTAAACAAGACATCCTCAGTGTGTGACCTTGTGGCAAGCTTTACATGGTGTCTATGTAACGAGTGATCGAACACGTTCCTCACCAGTGACGCTCCTCTCAACTTAACAACTCCCGGGGTTAGTCTCGCCAAATTCAATTAATATTTACCTAGCATTTATTGTTATCGTGGGAAGTTAAGAGGTGTACAGTATGTGTGTTACTTGTGCCACATGTGTTATCTGAAATATTGATTCATAAGTTAATGTATCTTACAACTGGTAGCGAGGGATGGAGATTGGCTTCACCTGTTACAACTGGCAACAACTCGCCCAGCACAAGAGACAAGAACTGACCTGGGTTGACCTGGAAGAAGGTGACCTCAACCTTGGTGCCGGAATGCTTTCTGGATTCGTGTTCACTGAGTATGTCCTCCAGCCACTCCTTAGAGATCTCCAAACTGTTCCTGGGAGACTGCATGTTGACCTTTGACCTCCCTTGACCTGTTAATTACGGGTACATAATATATCGGTCTTTGTGAATAGTCATCATATTTATTTATTTTTTAATTAATTATGAATCTAGATCATCTCGTTCACTTTACATTGTCAACAGCGATGATTCACTCTGCAGCACTTGATCAATGATTAACACCCCTGATCAGATAACACTTGAACTATTAAGTAATATGAGTAACCAAACCCTTGAGACATTAAAATATGTCTCACGGTGAGCGGGAATGAAATTATTGTTCAGTATCTACAGTTTATTATTTATCAGTACATTAATCTATAAAACAAAATCGATCGATTCGTTATCTACATGAAAACAACACAGTCCGTAACACCAGGAGCCTCACAACGTTAGAGTTGGCATTTGTCAGAAAGAGTTTATCT